TTTGTTGAATATGAGTTATTTATGTTGCGAAGAGAATATTAGGACCATGGAATAATATAGATGGTTCGCAACAGCATTAGAACAAGTTAGCAGTGGATATATATATGGTGACCCATTTACGTTTTAGTGTTTTCAGGTACAGCTGAAAATTTTCAAGATTGAAAAGAAGTTTTGTTGTTTTAGGACAAAGACAAGACTCTCACTCTGGTTTTTATCATTCATAGGACACTCTCCTTTTTCCCCCACTTCATTATTCTCAAGAATTTAACACACAGATCACAGAGAGATATATGGCTATGGCTGAGTGTACACACTCAGCTCCCAAATGAGTTGGTCTCCTTGCACGTCATTATACATTTTTCGTTCAAACTTCATTTAACTTCTCCTAGTCTTTCGTAGTTTTTATAATGGCATGATATTTTTGTCTTTTTTACATGCCTAAAGTGCTCCTAGTTTTGTTTTTATTTCACTAGGAAAAAGGTCTCTTGCATCTACGATGATCTATAATATTCATTTTTCTTCAGTTAATATTTAATATGTGACTCTGATCACACCCACACCATAGATGTCATAAAATTAATTATATTCATTAGTTGAAATCTTATAATATTTTAATACATGATTTGGTCTACTTATTAGCATTTGTCCATAATAATACATTTAAATTATTCATTTGAATATTGACCGAATGTCTAACCATAGTAAAATCAATGGATTATTCCTTTCTTAACCTGGATATGAAACCCCTATAAATAAAAATAATTAATAATTAAAGAAGAAAGCTTATAGGCCCAACCAACACAATGTCCATGGGCCTAACGAAAAGCGTTTATGGGCTTCACTATATCGGTTGAGTTTGCATGATCACGAACCCCTTGGTGTGATGACTGAGCCCAATACCTTCAATTGGGTCAATATTGGACATTTCGACCTCATTCATGAACATGGGCTTCTGCTTGATTTTCTTTTTCTTTTTCCTTTTCGTTTTTTCCTTTTTTTATTTTCTCTTTTTTACTTTCTAGAATACTTTAAGTCAACATCTAAATTAAAAAAAAAAAAAATCAACTAAATCGATCGACCCCAACAAAATCGATGTCAGTGGGCTGACTTGAATCGACATGTGAACGGTGTCGGGTAGTTGGAAAATTGATTTTCAACTTGCATATATATTTTTCTTCTTTTGAAAAAAGGAACTTAAAACCATACGATTGGCAGTCCTATTGTACTATTGAGAAAAACCAACGCACTACTTATTAAATTTGAAATAATATATATTTTTTAATATTCCATTTTTCTCTTCTCACCTACCTCCCCATCTTTCTCTTCCCTTCATCTGTCCACCTCAAAGATAAGGCATATCTCTCTTCTTCAATTTACCTCTCCCTCTCACACAACAAATTTCTACATTTGGCTCTCAATTTTTTACTAAAATATATATATTGTTGCAACCTCTGATGTATAAGCTCTAATGCTTAGGTGGCTCTTACCTCACTCCATCTTGCCTCAATTTCATTTATGGATCGGTTGTTTAAATTATAGAACCTTTTTCCAAAATTGTTGATTGAGTGAATCATAACTAATCGACTAGGCTTAAAAATATGTTCTTAATCCAAAAGATTACTTAGCCTCCGTATCAATTTGTGCTCAAAACCAATAGTAATCGTTGTGTACTCTTACACACATATATATATATACACACACTAACTTTGTAAAGAATGATATACTAAAATAATGGAACTTTTTTTTACCAAAATTGAAACTTTGGAGTTTGGCAGATGGTGAGATTGTGTTCAATTTCGCAAAGAGGAGGAAACGTGATTTTTGTTTGAAACATGAAATTCAAAATATGTAAAATAGATTAAAGATGTTTTTTATAGATATTGTCATGGACGTTTTTCTAAATTTTAAATTTCAAATATTTAGAGATGGCTCAATAAATAAGTCGCCAATTATTTTAGACTTTCGTTCTAAGGATGCTGTGCTAAATAAAAAGTCTTGTGTGGGTGATGTCATAATTAAGAATTATTTAAAAGAGAATTAGGAGGCGTTGTTGATCAATGTGGACCTCCGTAAATTGGGTTACGCGTCAAGTCGCCATTGGTTTGAATTAAGCAAATAAATGGCCACCTATTGGAACCGAGCTGCGTGTGAGTGACACGTGTAGAGATGCTTTAGTAATTGGGCCCCACGTTTAATAAAGTGTGATGAAGGACAATAATAATAAGCTAGGGTCTCAAAGGACATTAAAATTGTGTCCATATAAAAAGTAGAGCAATAGTAAGTCGACACGTGTTAGCATCTATAAATCAGATTTCCAGAAGATAAGGGGCATGAGATGAAAAGCCCTGTCACTATTGCTAGCGAAAGAAGCTACCGTCAGTCCACGTGGCAACTTCTCAAGCCGGGAATTGCTCTCCAAAAGCACATGCTGTCATTCGGGAGAGAACACATTCTCTCCTAACAACGACAACCAAAAGACAACTTAAAACATTTTTTTTAAATACAAATTACTAATCTTTTCCATTTTAAATAACAAATTTCCGACCTTTACTTACGATAATTCTTTCATTTTTTTTTGTTTTATGTTTTTAAAAATTAAAGTCTGAATTATCGTTATTGTGTAGTTTTCGCTAATGGATCTTTACAACTGAAACTCGTTGTCTTAGTTGAATAACATCAACTAGTAAATCTGTGATACTATAAGACTTTATGTCATTGCTGAATGCCTTTTGAGCATTAGTTTTTAAAAATTTGTTTTTGTTTTCTAAATTTAGATAATAATTTAAATATCCTCTCAAGAGAGGTAAAAATTTTATTAATAAAATTGCCCAAACGAGATGGTTCAATGTCACTAGTAAAAGTAGTTGCAATTAAACAACTTGAAAATACATAAAAGAAATTCGAACTCATGACATTTTGGTCAAAAATAAGTATGTTAACCGAGACTTAAGTTTTATAAAGTATAAATAATTAACCCTAGAAAATGACGAAGGTTCCTCAGAATTGATGCAATTTAACCTAACACTAGTGGAGTTATGAGGATACAGTTTAATTACAATGATTTTGTAATTCTAGAAAGCAATTACTTAAATTAAAAGCTAGAAATTGTACTGTAACCATCTCTATATATGGTCGATTTCAACTTGGAAATATTGTTTTGTCTTTTTACTTTATATATATATTTACTATGTACTTTGCTATCTTTTGTGTCCTTTAGTTATTTAATGGCATATATTAATATCAACACATTTTAGCTGTGAGTCGTGACGTATGCTACAGAAAGAAGCTACTTTTCATTCATTATTGAAATATATTGTGTCAAACGATATTGGTTATTAAAACACCACAGAAACTTAATTGTTAATGTACTTCTTGCCATCAAAATAAAAAAATATATTACTCAACCACACCAATATCCATAGTTAACTTTATATTTTGAATATATTTCAACGAGTTAAAGCGTTTATTTTTTATAAAAAATCGTCGTGATGTACTAAAAAAAATTTGTATTTTATTTTTTACCAAACATATCAAATGGTATCTAATCTTTTAGGCAATTCCCAATTTAAATCTTTTATCGTTTAAAATTTTCTCAATTAAGTGTTCCAACAAATTAAAATTTGTTAATAAACAATTTATATATCATTAAATTATTGTTTTATACATTGAAATGACTTTGCCACTTGGAATAAATTAATAATTCATGTGTGGGTAGAATTTCACCGATGGATGGATTTGCGTTTTATATGTTAAGCCATTTGGAGTGGCATGTCTAATTGTCCAATATATATATATATATATATATATATTCATATACTAAAAGAAAATATTACTATCATCTTAAATTTGCAAATTTCAAAAGAATTTTGTATAAAATGACTTTATTGAGATTTTCTAATAGACTAATTAAGATAAAATTGAAAATTTTAAAAGATTAAAAATCAAATTAAGAATTACCTAAAAGAGCAAATATTTAGCCCTCATTTTACATAATGAATTAGATTCAGTATTTATTTACATATTTATTCAATAATTTGTTCCAACCGAGTTGTTTTTTAAGAATATAGAAATTGAGTTTGAGTATTATTTTCTTAGTATTTTATGTAATTATAAATTTTGAAGTGAGGAATTTGCTCATGTTTAAGAATAACTATCCAATAATTTATCAGTTTCAAGCACAATCTCATTAAGACAATTTCATTCCGATTTTATTCAGAGACGAATATATTTACTATCATGCATTTATATTTTATTTGGCTGGCTATACTTTTGTCTAGATCACACCTCTTTTAATTTTTTAACTTTGGAATATCGAGGTAGATGATCAAACTTTCAACCTTAAAGAATATATAAATATTAGATATCATATAAATGATTAAATTTATCCTTACTACTAACTTAAAGCATTTGGTTTCATTGGTTACCTATTTAAAAAAAATATATGCATCTGCCTTAACCATTGATGATATTGGCTTTATTTTCACATCTTAGACCTTCTCATTAATGGAACTTATGAATTGTCATTTACTAGACAAGAGAATAAAGTTTTCCATAAATGTTTGATTTCTCTTAGATATCTGTTTTAGATAAACAATAGAAGTTAAAATCTTCCTCCATTCTAAAGGAAACATTCAACCATATTCGAAAGACCTAAATTAAAGTCTATTTTGGTTAATAAAAGAAGAATGTGAAGATAAAATATTTGATGATTTATTCTCTGATATTGGGAAAACATACAAAAGAAAAAAAGAAAAGAAAAGAAAAGAAAAGAAAAGGGGTGTCCCCCCATCTTTGAGAAAAAAAGAGAAAAGGAAGAAAATGAGAGAGAGCTTGGTCCACGTTGTACGATTCGAAGGTGTTTGCTCCGAACCCACACATCACCCATTTTGTATGTGATAAAGTTTGAAAGCGACCCCCATAGAGATCAGACTAACTTGTGTTGTGTTTTGTGTATGTTGTAGAAAGAGAGAAAGAAAAATAGGGCTATTCTATTTGTGAATGCAACTCAACTGATATAATTAGGCTTTAAGATAGTGAAGGTGCAAAAAAGGGGTGCTTTAAAAATTGTTGCTTGTTGTGTAGAAACAAAAACCAGAGTGTGATCTGGATATGGGTAGAGGAAAAGTGGTGCTTGAGAGAATAGAGAACAAAGTGAACCGCCAAGTCACATTCTCAAAGCGCAGAAATGGGTTACTGAAGAAGGCCTATGAGCTCTCTGTGCTCTGTGATGTAGATGTTGCTCTCATCATCTTCTACAGCCGTGGCAAGCTCTTCGAATTTTCCAGCACTGAGTCAGCTCTCTATTCTCTCTCTCTCTCTCTCTATTCTTTATCCCATATCCCTCTTAATTCAATTCTTTGTTCTTTATATTCATCAGCATGAACAAGATTCTTGAGAGGTACCACCAGCGATGTTACAGCTCTGGATCCACCAGCAACCTTGATGAGAGTGACGTTCAGGTTCTCATTCCATTTCTTGAAACAAATTCTGATCGAGGATGTACAAAATCAGATCACATCTAACTTTTGTTTATGTTTTTTCTGGCAGATAGAAGAGGTTTCAAAGCTGAGAGCCAAATATGAATCTCTTCAGCGTTCCCATAGGTAATTATATAATTTAAGTATCTATTAATTGTACAATATGTGTGTGTAATGTTTCTTTAATTTTTGTTTTGTATTTTATGAAGGAACTTTCTTGGGGAAGAACTTGAGCCACTGAACCTGAAGGAGTTGCACAATCTTGAGAAACAGTTGGATAAAACTCTTTCACAAGCTAGACAGCGGAAGGTAATTAAAAATCAACACACACCATTTTTTTAATCACATGATTTGACAGAACCTGTATGAAATTCAGAATAAAAGGACATGTGTTTTGTTTATTATATTTCAGGGGTTCGTAAGTTTTTTTTTTGGTTCCACTTTATTTTTATTGTGTTGGAATTGGAACCCTTGACTAATTCTTTAGAATAATTATTTCTGTTTGAATAGAGTTCTCCTATTTGATTTCTTGTGTAATTGATTGATCTCTACTGCAGACCCCTATTTGGTCGGATTTAAAATGATTGTTCTATCATTTCTTATTTGCAATTCAATGTAGTTCAAATTTCGTGTTTGTAATTGATTATGAATGATTTATCTAAACAGTATGGAAAGAAGGGATTTCTGAAATTGTTTAGAGGTTGTGATTATTTTATGTTCTCCTTTGACTTCTGTACATGAAATGCTTTTCATTGTCAACAATAATAAGATTAACCCAAAATTTTCAAAAGTTATTTTTTTAGGGGTCTGATACTGATTTCATAAAGGTGGTAGGCTAGAAAGTTCTCCATCCAAATATAGGTGGTGTTATTGTCCGATCACAATTTCATATATAGTGCGTATATTCTAGTTCAATAGTTTAAACATTTAGATTCATTTGTTGTTAAATCATTAACAAATCTAAAAGCTTGAACATTAATTAAGAATGAAATGAACTCTAATATAGGTTTGAACATAGAAAAAGAGAGGATAGAACTTGAGCTTTCTGCTCTGATACCGTATTAAAACATGATATTAAACAGTAGTGATGAAACCGGTCAAAAAACCTAAAACTCGTGTTGCTGTTATTTCGAATGAGTCTAATTAATTAAGATGTTTTTTTCTTCTTTCTTAATACCAATTAAAAAATGGGAATGTTAATCATATTCATTAATCTGTTTGTTGTTAAATGCAGGCAGAGATAATGCTTCAAAGATTAGCAGAGTTGCGCAAAATGGTATGAAAAAACAAGGTTTTTTTAGTATGATCCAACAGTTGCTTGTGTATTTATAGGTAGATGTATATGATCTTTTAAGGTTACCTGGACAATGTTTTCTATTTTTTGTTTTATGTTCTTTTTTATAAACAAAATATATTTGATAATTGTTTTTTTATTTTGTTCTTTTAAAATTTGAGTAAAAACTTAATGCCACTTAGCCCTACCAGGAAGGGATGTTTTGAGGTGGGCAAGGAAATTTTGATGGATCAAATATAATAATAGATCAAAAAAAAGGCAAAGTCTTTTTTTTTAGTTTGGCTATAGGAGCAAACAGCTCGAGATAATCGATGTGATAGGTTTGTGTGAAACCTTTCGCCACAAGACGAGCCCTCTCCATACTTAACATGAACATTGGTTGTTTGGCATAAATATTTAAAATTATTATGTTAAATCTTTTATTTATTTATTTAATATCCATTTTATAAGTTAAAAAATTAATGAAAAAAGAGAAATAAGTAATAAAAACGCTTACGTTCTCAAAAGTTGGAAACAAAAGTTAAAACCCAGCCCTTTCGACCAAACTTTCTTGAGAAAATTATCGAACATATTGCATTCATTATGGAAAAATTAAATGGTACGTAATAAAACTTTTTCTTATCAACCACCGTTTGAACAGTACCGTACTTCGTTTAATTAATATGTATTAAATGAAGAGAATGTTGGAGATTCGATCAATTGTTGAATCTTTTCACTTTTATTTATTTGATTCCATTTGATTTTAGTTCAATAATAATACGAAGCATTATTCTTTGTAGTTTAAAACTTAACATTAAATCAACATTAATATAAAGAGATGAAATTAATTTTATTCTTCTATTTTCTTTTTCTAATTTTCCATTAATTCATTGTTAGTTAGATTTCCTTTTTTATTTTTGTTTGGAAGTGAAAAGGTGAAAAAGTGACTAAGTAATTGTTTTTTTGAGGCATACAGGAGCAGGACCTTGGAGATCAAAATACTGAGCTCAAATCAAAGGTTTTCTTCTCTTGCTTCTTCTCACCTTCCCAATCAAATATATATATGCATGCTTAAATCATAATTATAACTTAGTTGTGGTCTTATTTTTAAATTTAATATCATACTTCGATTCCTGTACTTTTTTTTTTTTGGCTGTGGCAAACTTGTATAAGTGTTTAAAGTCAGTAGTGATTATGGATTTTTTTAGTATAGCAATCGTTTCGTTCCGGTTAAATATACCAAATAGTAATCCTAGGTACTTCTTAACCTTTTAAAATTCTCGATTTTATTAAGATCTTTCTCTGTTAAAAAAAAGTTAAAATCTTTTAATATTAAGTGGTTGATGTATTATTATTAAATTATTAATTTATTAACATATTTAGACGCGTGGATATGTCACTTGAATAATACTTTATGCATGAAACTCAACCCATTAATCATCGCCATTGACCAAAAGTCATTTCTTTAAGTGATGTGTCTGAGTGACATGTCATATGTCCAAATGTATTAATAAAATAATAGTTTAATGACACATAAATTCTATGTTAATGAAATTTAACAAGTGTTTATATGAAAGACTTAATCGAGAATAACCAAAAGGAAAGCTGAGATTTTTGAAAGATACCAAATTGAGAATTATATACGAGATTAGGACCATTTGATATATATTCAGTCATTTGTTTTTTTTTTTTTGTTACTTAGTATTTTTATAATTAAGCTTATAAAGAAACTATTTCACTTGTGATCTATTTTTAGGCTCCATTTGATTAACATTATTTTATCACAGGTTTTAGAATTTTTTCGATCCATATATATTATAAATCTTTGTTAAATCTTTTATCTCTTCAATGTGAGGTTTTTAATAGGTTTTATGTACTTAAAATATTTGCGGGAAGACTAAAACTTAAGGTTATTTTCAGTTGATTATTGAACATAATATTTAATTAATAGAACAAAACTTTGGTATTAGCTTGAGGAAGGACAACGACGGTTGCAACAAAGTGAAGATGGGCAGGGAGATCCAGAAGAACAAGTACCTAATTACGAAGTGGTAGGAGAAGAACCAAACATGAGCAGCAGGTTTGTTTTTAATTTTTTTTACCAGCAAATTCAAGTACATGATATATGCTTCTTAAATAATCTGAAACATTAAGTTTATAATGCACGAATAAATTAATGATTTTTGGGTGAACTATGTGTGTGTTTTTAATGAAACACAGGTGCTTTGATGTCCAAGAAGAAGAAGAAGCCAGGGCAGCCATGGCAGGAGGAAGGGAGTAACCTAATCCCAGAATGGCTGATATGAAATGTTAACATATTTATATAAATGTTCTCAAATTTTTACTTTCTATATTCTTCATAATAAGATTATGGACCTTATAAATTAAAAACTTCTCTTGGGATTATTTCTTAAATATATGTTTGTCTTTGTTAATCAGGTTTAATATTCATACTACAAAATGCATATGTTTCCTAGCTCTCTCTTTCAGTGTGAATGATACTTTAGTCTTTAGGATTAATAATTTTACTACAAAATTAAATGCGTGTATGTTCTCTCTCTTTCTCTCCACAATCATCTTTTTTAAAGGTGGAGTGAATATCAGAGATTCAAACATAATCCTACATCAGTTCAAAGATGGTAGAAAGATTTTGGATATTTGAGTAAGAGAACAAATATAATTTCTAAATAAAGTCTTTTCGGTAGGTTTTAAAATTAAAGTAAAATTGGTAACTTGAAGTTTCAAAATGAACATTTTTGGTCTTGAGGTTTGAGGCATGTGTCTATTTGGTCTCTGAAGTTTTAAAATGAACACTTTTTGTTTCTGAAATTTGAGAAATAGTTTTAAATGGATCCTGATTTTTTATTTTTTTTACTGTTTAGATGATGGTATTTTCTCTCTCCTTACCTCATCTCTTCCTCGCTCTTTTACCTACTCTTTTTCGGCGACTACCACGTCTTTGTCGCCGCTGCCCACCATTCATACCGAATATATATCATTTAATTAATATAATTTGTCACATCATCAACTACAATAAACAATTTAATTGTAATTTGCCATGCCATTTTAATATTAGTTAATTAATAGTAAAAAAAATCAGAGACCATTTAGAACTATTTCTCAAACTTCATGGACCAAAAGTGTTCATTTTAAAACTTCATGGACTAAGTTGACACCTAGGACCAAAAATATTAACTTTGAAATTTGAGGGACCAATTAGACATCTACCTCAAACCTGAAGGATCAAAAGTGATCATTTTGAAACTTTAGGGACCAAGTAAACACCTACCTCAGTCCTTAGAGACAAAAAATATATTTTGTCCAATATATTATTATAGAGGATACAGAGAATCATCATCTTAATAAATAATATCTAGAGTCATGTGTGCCATAGACTTAGCTATATGACTAGAATTTGAAAAGTCAAAACCAAAAAATTGTGAATGTTCGTTATTGTTGATTTGTATAGAGATTTATCAAACATGTAAAAAATAAAATAAAGAAAGAAAGAAAAATGAGATATTTAGAACAAGCTCTAAATTTGGTGTCTACACCATATTCTCAAATGCTAATTAAGTAGGTTTTTTTTTTTTGAAAGAGATCATTTCATTACGATAGGTAGGTAAGAAACATACAAAAAAATGAGGCTCAAATGGATGCCCTCAAAAGAAATGGTACCTATATCATACTTACAAAAGAAAAATGATTTTGATGATCAAGATTGACTATAAATCTTGGAATCATCTCAAAGGTGTGCAGAAGATCTTCATGAATATGAGAAGATGAGATTGTTGCGCTCCATCTAAATATTCTAAAGAACTGAAACAATAAAGCATTTGTCCCTTTGATCTCTTGGGGAAGATAATACTTCCTTGATGAAATCATCCACCCAAGTAGGGAGAGGAAACCAAATGTTAAAAGCCTTGAAAATAGCAGACCAAAGGCAATCTGGCAATGCAGAAATATATAGATGGTCTAAAGATTTGGATTGACGATAACATAAGATGCGTCAGCTCAGATTAATGGCTAATGTTTGGTACCTTATTAGTAATTATTCATGGGTATTGAGGTTGGAGAATGCACCAAATAAAGAGTTTACATTTTTTTTTTTGGGAAAAGCATATCCCAAAATTTGGAAAATAAATCAGAATAACTCCCGGGAGCATGGCCTATTAATTAAATTCAAATGCAAATTAAGTTAGATCGAGACAACAAATTTGAGCTAGCATATGAAGTTTTAGTGTAATAGGCCGGTAAGCATACTGAATAATCACGCATCTTATTATCTATAGAAATAGTACAATAATGCTCATACATATATAGAATCAATCATATGTAATATGCTAAAATAACATCAATCCAAACTGCAAACCACTTGCTTATTTTGGAAAAAAAAACACCATCTCAATCAAGTCAAACCAAAATGCATAATAACACAATTTTAGTTGTGGATCGAAATTATATTAGTCCCGTCCTCTAGGATGTCGTAGTGACATAAACCTGGAATCGTGTAATATCACCTATACTATGAGGTCTTGTGTTCGAATCTTATGCTGGTCGTTGTATTACTTAGTTCAGACAACGAATCTTGGTTATAAGGATCACTACTGTAAGCCACACAAATTTGTAAAAAATATTTAAATTAACAAATAAGTATTTTATCATTTCTAATTAAGTTAAAAGATGATTAATTTTAATATTACGTCTATATTAGTAATATTTTGTTGATATTTTTTTATATTTTGTCAATTTTTTACAATAGTATAGAAATATCGATTTCGATCAAAATCTCTGACATGTAGACGGATATTTAATACCTTATTTAAATCATGGAATTTATTCAATTTAGAACTTTTTTTGGGCTTAAATTGCTGCGTCGCCTTCTCTTTCTCCACGTGCTTAGCATGTGCGTCGCAATCGGTCAACTCGCGGATTCAATTGCTGGACCTGGACGCTTCGTTTTGCCAGCGAAAGTAAGCTTACTTTCCCCAAGGCGACCTGCAAATTTCGAATCCCGTTTCCAAGATTTCGCCATTTTTTCGCAGTGAATAGACGCATCAGGAAATTGGGTGTCTTCGATTGGATGAAATTCAGAATCCCTATCAGCCATTCTCGTTTCTTTTTCTGATTTCCGCAAGAAATTATTTTCAGGGAAAAAAAATGGCTTCTAATCCCTCTCTTTTGCCCGAAATTGGTCCTGATGGCCTTGCAATGGAATCCCCTGTAATTGCCTACACTGAAAAGGTTTTGAATCTGACTTCTGGACTGCAAGATTTCTCTTAATTTAGTTCTTTTTAGAATTTTGTTTATTAATTGTCTAATTATGTTACAGATAATCGAGGAAGAGCAACTTCAATTGAGAAAGTATGAATTTCTTCCATTGCCTTCTCAGATCTGGTTCCTCGCGCATTATACCTAGCTTTTATGCATTGCTTTTGCTTACCATTGGTAAAGTAGAGTAATTACTTATGATTATATCTTTTCTGTTGACGGAAATTTAAGTGTGGGGCGTTATTCATAATGCACGAGTATACAATTTATGGTCTTGAGGAAGTCCTGAAGGAATCATCTGGCTTAGGTAATCATATGTTCCCTTCAATCTATGGAGAGGAACGAATTCCTAACCTCCGAGCTATGTTCAGATTGATTATGTTAACACCAACAACATAATGCTAATTTTAATTTGTAATGACATTAAGGGGATGCTCACAACTTAGGAAGTTTTAATGTTTGGAAAACATTCTTTCTATTACTCTTATGTTTGAAGTTGAATATAGTCCAGTGAAGGATAGCTATGAGGCAAAGCAAGGGAGGATGCTGATTGGGGTAAATGGAAATATCAAAGGCTTAGTGTGATCATGTGAACATTCACATTTGATTATCTCATAGTGATATCTTAGACTGAGTTGACATTGGTTCCAATATGCCTCTCTTTTTACTGTAGTGGTACCCGTGGTCGCTATATTTGGCACCAATAAGTAATGTTGACAAGAACATACGATAAGCTGTAGGATTATGTTAGGTCCTATCATTTTGGCTTTGCTCTTGTTTATTAATCCATATTCTGCACTCCTTTCACTAGGCATATTCTTAAATTAGTTAAACTCTAATTAAGACCTCCAATTTTGTGCTGAAACCTAGTGGGGTAAATCACTGAAGTTTGATCAAGTTAAAAAGGATCCATTGTATATTTGAGAATGATCCCACCTCGGATACAGAAGTTGACTTCTAATTGGCCAGTTACAATCCCTCCAAGCATAACAATAGTGAAATGAAGTTTTATACTCAGTGAAATGATCTTTATTTTGCTCTTCTTACCCGTCTCCTTGAACAGGAAATGTTCTTAATGGCTTGGTTTGTTATTTCATCCAGATATATTGAAGAGAATTATTCTAAAATTCGAGATGTTGAACGGGAGTTGGCAAATCTTACAATGGAGATGAAACTCACATCTGGGCCCAAAAAAGCAGGTTGAACTTATTATCAGTTGTTTTATTTTGCTTGTTGATTGTCATTAAATGGTTTTGACTTACCATCATGAATGGTTTTATATCTTAGCACTTGAACTTTTGCGGAAGAAAATAGAAATGGCAACAGAGAGAATACGTGCAGCCAAGTTGAAAGAAGAACAAGCAAAGCAGGTTTTCCCCTTCTAAAATCTTTGTATTGGACCGTAACCTTGACTAGAAGTTGGCCATTTGCATGCCACTTCATGCCTGCTCCATAAGTTGCAGAAAACTGTGTTATTTTAAACCTATAATTTAGGGGAAAACAAAATTTGAGTGGTTAATACAATCAAATTGTTCTAGTCTTGCTAAATTATAACCAGTCTTTCCTATTTTTGTCCAAATGTGATGTCTTTGCTTCTTTAACTATGATGTCTGAAGATTTGCATCAATGGTAGAAAAAAGAACGATCAAGTTAAGTTTTGTGAGAATAGATTCTCATGCTTGCCACGTTTTCTTCTTCTAACTGCATTTCACACAAACTACATCTTCTCTGGGATTTCACGAAATGGAAGGGGCATCAATCAATTTCTTCTAATTTTTACTACACATGTTTTATATATTCATTTTGGCCTGCACTACAAAATCGTTAATTGGTATTCAAGGAGTTTAATATGCTGATTCTCCCTTCAGGCTTGGGAAGCAGCATCAAAAGTAGTGCAGGACGAGGAACAGATTAAGCAAAAGCTGTGTGAAGACTTGAATCATCTGGTACAAATCTTTGCATTATGTTTTCTTGTGTTAAACTGTTGCATATATTTGAGGGTATCTTTATTCTTAATAGGTTCAAGAAAGCAGTAATTCGCAATTGACAAGGCTGGAAGAACTTAAACGGCGTATGGAAGCTTTGAATCCAGGTCGAGTATCGACCTCTGTTTCTTATGTAAGTCTTCTAAAGGGTTGCATATAGTATCTCATATTCATAACAATGCTGATTTGTTATGTAGTTTCTGGTTGGCCATTAGCATGGCCCTGTGGAGATATAATGTAAAATATATGCATTGGATTACACAGGATGGGAAAACAGTGGGAGGAGCACAGAATAGCAGAGTTTCAGATTCTTCTGGAGGTCCTACATCAACAGAAACAGGTGTAAGAGCAAGAGCAAATGAAAGTGCCCCTAATCAGGGAACAACCAGTGGTGGTGCTCCTCCAGTGATGAATGGGCAAAATCAAAAGCCCCCTTCTGAGGGAGAAGGGAGAGGGAAAAAGAAAAATCAGCTCCATGGAAGAGGGAAGGGAATTGGGGCAGTGCCTAAAGGAAGAAGCTCTACTGACTCTGGTTGGACTGGCTCTGGGTTTGATGTGGATGGTAGAGTGTGAGCTGGGCTTAACCACACTATAATATCAAGTTTCAAATCTGTCAATATCAATATTCAATCAACAGTCAAGATATGGTTCTTTTATTAAAGGAAAGTTCTGTTGGTATTTTGTTATAGGCTGGAATGGAAACTTTACTGTTAGCCCCAAGTTCTAGTAATTACATTTTTGTGTTTTGATAATGTTTCTGTCTTGTCACTAACTTACCTGTTAACTGTTGATTCTTCCAAAGTTCCATTAATGATCTTCAAGTATTTAAGGAGAGTTATCAGACTGAAATATTCAGCATAAACTAAATGAACAGATTAAGGAACTTCTATTTCAATCCCTAAACCTTCAGGCTACTCTATTTCAAAATTTTTGAACAAAGATCTTTCAACTTATCACTAACTTATTAGTCAATTTCATATAGAAAAGTGATGACATAGGTTGGGCAATATTTTTATTTTTAAGATGAGGAAATTACAAGCATGTTTGGTAAGGTTTTTATTTTTTGTTTTTTATTTTGGTTTTTATCTCTAATTTGTGCGTTTAGTAATTATTCATATTTCTCATTTCCCATTGTCCATTGTGTAGATATTTTGAAAACAATATAATCATATTTTTTTGTCTCTAGTTACATTTTTAGTGTTTCAAAACATAAATAAAAACATTATTTTAATATTTCTTGATCTTCTTAACTTATAGAATGCATAATAAATATAATATAAAAATTCAAATATTTAATCTTAAAAATTAATTTCACATAAAATTTTATCTTTCTTTTTTTAATTTAAAATTTTAGAGAACGAGCAACATGAAATGATTACCAAATACAATTCTTGTTATATTCCATTCTATCGAAAAACTGCCTACTTAAAAGTATCCAACCCTCCTTTGATTTTCCTACGTGTATTTTTTTAACTTCGCTCATCACTTCCTTCCATTTTCATCGAATTTTTTTTTGGCAGGAGTATAAATATTTTTTTCATTCACTACTTAACCGATTGTCTTAAAAATATGTACAGTCCATCAACATTAAATAATTACTTATAAAAATAGAATCCTAATAATGTGGGAAAAAAAGGAGTAATCCTAGTTTCCTTGTACACAGTAACTTTTCCCGTTTTATGGTCAACTTCTCAACTAAAAGTCGGCAACATTATGACAGTTTAATTTTTCTGAATGATTACATGAAGCAAATCAGAGAAATATGTCTGCCTTTGGACCAGCCATTTATGAAGACTTGCTGGGAAAAAATGCTACAACCTATATTCAATGGGGCACGCAGAAGATTACATTAAAAGCCAATTAATGTAAAAATGGCACCATATATTATATTAATTATTTGTACACTTTAATTCGCAACAACTTGCAAGTGAAGCAACCCCTAAATTATTACTGGAGAACCATCATTTGTTTCATGGAAATTAGATTTTATAGGGTCTCCCCAACCATACTCAATTATGCAATATAATAAACCCATCAGAATTTCCAAATAATAATTACCCCACACTTTAAATGTTCATTGGATGTTCAAACCAAGTGAATTTTTTTTACCAATATTCTGATATTTCTTTACATTATTGGCCGTCTACAATTTAAATTCAGGGGGCACATAGTTTTATGTTATTAAATGACATTTATTTTATCAAAAAAAGTGAGGCAAACTTTAAATACTGGATATTATTAATTTTGAGATAGAGAAGTTGAAGTCAAACCTGTGAAATGCATTAAATAAGTATTCATTATCTTTAAACTATTTAATTTCCTTGTATTCAAAATCGACCTTGATCACAACGGTCGAATTTTTATTATTATTCTTTTAAAGTTTTACTAGAGGCTATGTATGCACAACACCACAGAGACACGTGCATTCTTGATAATAAATATAATCAAATATAAAATTTTCATTATCAATACAAAAATGTTCATTATTACAATATTTAACTATCGTACCTGCCTGAAATTAAGTAAATTAAAAAAATTGATAAAAAAATTAGAAAAAGAGGCTAATTTGAGCATAGATCAGTGAATCCCAATTACTTTTTCCTTAGCTCTAAAGTTTAATTCTCTTACCCTTTAAATACTATTTTGATTTCTGTACTACGTAGTTTCAAAATATTTTTATATTTTAAATATTTGTTTATTTTAGTTATTTATTCTTTTAAAAGTATCTAATTTTATCACCGTACTTTTAAAAACTTACAAATTTGATCCTTTTGCAAAATTTTAAAGCAAATTTCACACCTAAGAACTCTCTAATACAAATTTATAGTTGTATTTTGAGAATTTTAGTACTAAATATGAGATAAAAAGAAATGAGATATAAATGAAAATGAATGGACTAAAATGGTAACTTTTTGAAAGTATAATTAACAAAACTAAAATGAAAATTTCAAAAGTGTATGAACTAAAATAAACAAAAGTTAGAAATACAAAAACAAAGATGAACAAAAACCGAAAGTGTACAGAAATCAAAATAGTATGTAACTAAAAAAATGACAAGAAAATCGAAATCAACGTTATGTCTAAATAAATAAATTAAATTATTATTATTATTATATATATTTTAGTACAATATGAGGGTAGGAATCAAACTCACAATCCCTCGCTATGGCTATTAAATTATTAGTTTCACTTTCAAAGTTGTATTTATTTAATATATGTAATTTAAAAAGTTTTCCATAGGTCCTTGAATGGGTACAAAGTTGGGTCTATTAGTCCCATGCTTTAAACGGATTTCAATAGACCTTAAAATTTCAATTGAGGGAGAGTAATAAATTCACAATTTAACTTCGTCAATTTAAGCACTTATGTCATTAAACCCGCAAAATCATTCTTAGATTATGTCATATCAATGTTACACTAATGAAATTATGACAAAGATTTTTTTTTAAAAAAATACAACATGCAAAGGAGGAGATCGGAACTTTTAATCAAGAAGAGAGATGTCTTAACCTTTAAAATATGCTTAGACCGACAATTATGACACTTATATTAAATACAAAATGAATATAGCTCAACCGTTATTTTCATATATCTTCAATCGAATTAATTAGTTATGAATTTGATACCTTAAAAAAAAAACTATAAACCATCCCAATTCATTTTAGGCATTAAATAAAAACCAATTTGATTTAAACGTTGATGATCCCATCTCAATATATCGCAAACAAAACATCATTATTAATAATGGCACAATTAATCAAACATCATAATTAATTGAACTCAATTATATTAAGCATTAAAAACAATTTTCCTCAAGCGCATACATATATTTAAAATATATATTACGAAGTTGGTTTGGACCATTGTAATTAAAACCTCCACATGTGACCACGATCTAACCCTAACGTAAACTCAACCCACATGGATTTCTCTGTGTTTGAATTTTCCCGCTCGATTTATACATTGGGTTTTAATTATATCATATATGCTGTGTTGTGCAGGGACATTTAATTTGTAATGTTTTATTTATTGTCCAAAATGCTTTATACCATACCATGCCAATTTTTTGTGTATTCGGACAGCATCTAGAATCATGCCACCACGTGACCTTGTACTCCATTAATGTCACCTTCCCAATTTTAGACTATTTGTCACCTTCTCTATCTACGTACTACTTACATATATATTATACATACGTGTATATATATAATATTATATGTTATAGTAACTTTTGTATTTTGTATTTTGTATTTTTCTTTTCTAAAAGTATAATTTTATGTCGATTATTATATATGTGTGTAATATTTATTTTTGTAGGGAGAGAGAGGGACTTGCTCAAAACGAGAAGAAAGGATTAGGGGTGTTAAAGTTTTTAATTTCGTGTTATTATGAAAATTCTAAGTTAATTATAGGTAAATGAATCAAATTGGGTTTAGTAATTCCTTTCGTTATGCCACATGGGTAATAAGAAATATATAATCAAAAATCGATTATTCTTTAAATTTTTAGTTTTGTGCCTAAATGTTTCTGAAATTTTAATATTATGATTTAAGAGGGGAGTTTTAATTAATTATTTATTTTATTAATCATAGTGATGAAAATCTTACAACAAAACTAGATGAACATTAAATCTTATTATATATAATTTAACCATTAAGCAACTTCGAGTTTTAGAGATTTGTAGAGCCAAGGATGATGGATAATTGTTTGTTATTTTTTTTTTAATTTCAAAATTGGGTTTGAACTTCAAAGTGCTGAGCACATCTTTTAGTTTTGGATTTCAGACCCTGCATTTTGCTTTATTTCCAAGCTACACCCTGTGCCCTGCCACACTTTTAGTTTTGTCCTGTAACTTTTTTAATTATTCCATTTCTCTGCTTATTTTAATTATTTTATTTGTTAGCCACATGTCGGCCATATCTTATCCACATTGGACATTAAACCTTAAATTACATCTCTGCGCAATCCCCAGAACTTTTCAATTTTTCGAATTTATAGCTATATTATATCGCCCCAACACTTTTTTTTTATATATATATATACAATATATAAGTGAAGGTGAAATAATATATATTTAAATTAGTAATTGGGAACTTCAAATTAAAAAAGAAAAAACCTTGTTCATTAAACTGTAACAGAAATAATATTCACTGTAAAATTTAATTAAACTTTGTTCATTGCATGCACCTTACATATAATATTCATTTTTTTAAAAAATATAATATAATAAAAATGGATAAAGATCCAAACACTTAACGTCTATAGAATCTTTTTAATATTTAAACTAGTTAAACAATTAAATATGGTGATGTTTTAACTTAATTTTTTCCCTTCGAGGAGGATATTCAAATTAATTTACTATTCACTGTCTTACTAGTTTCTTATCAAAATTATTCAGTAACGCAATATATACTTTATTTTTATTAGATTATTTATATTTCGAACGGGAGATTCTTAAACACATAACTCTTAATATAAATATATGAGTGAATTACACTAGTAAAATGCTATTACTTAGCATGATAAAAAATTTCTCCTACATCCATTATTCTAATTAAAAGATGATATTTAGAAATTCCATCTCCAACTAAACTAATCAACTTGTTAGTTAACTCAAAGCTACAAATACAAAGTTTGAATGTTAGTTTCTAATTGGTTTCGTCACAGACCTAGTTTTTTAGGAAGTTGTTGATATTCTTCTTTTTAGTTGTAGTCAAGTCTAAGTTGCTATTCTTATGGGTTAGTTAAGTAGCTAATTATGTGGAGATAGTTATGTTTATTTTTAGCATCATAGTATGTATTTATATGGAGCACTAATGAATGAAATTATCACTTCCCCCACTTTCTTATTTCTCTCCCAAGAAGAACAACAACAGAACTTTTTGAAATCCTGTTGAATCCTTTTCGCGCTCGCCCATAAGAAAACAACTATGAAGGTGGTCCAAGAGTCTCCCTCTCTGAACTTGGCAGCATTTGGCACTGCGGATATATAAATCTTTAAGGGTTTTGCGACTTTCGGTTGGCTTGAAAAGGCACAATATTGTAGGGATGATCTCATCTTTTAATGATTGTCTCTTTGCCAATACTTTTTATAATCACATCCTTCTCCCAACAAAATCTATTGAAATTTGTTGCCTTTCTTGGCTTTCTACTTCATTATTATAATCTCTTTGGCATTACACATTCCAGATACCCATTTCAATTTCAAATATTATTCATATATCATATAATAACCAATTGTTTGATCGAGGGTATGCATTAATTAATCAATTGAGTTATATATATTGTCTTCTATCAATAATTTATCATGGACATTGAAATGAAAGGAATTGGATCAATAAAACAGTACTTTAAAATATTAATTTACACTATTTAATTATGTTATGGGGATATAATTATTTTCCTCTTTTTTCTTTTTGGAATATAGAGGGAGAAATTAAATGTAGAAAGGAGGACAGAGAGGGAGGAATGGGAAATGAGATTCCTCTGCCAAAAAACCTGTCTTTTAAGAACCGAAAAATCTGAGTGTGTGTCTGGTGGGTAAAAATCCACGTGGCTGCATTTACCGTAGCTACGTGGGGTCCCACCATCCCAAATGACATCTCCCACGTGAATATCCCATGTGATTCTCCTGCCATCTCTGTCGCCTCTAAACGACGCCGTCCGGCTCAACGAAACGCACCGTTTCCTTCAGGAGCTCCTCCACGATGCCCTCCTCAATCTGCGTCACTATCCCCTCCCCTTCCTCCTCAAATCCCATCCCCAATCTGTCCATATCTTTCTCAATAATCCCATCTATGTCCTCCAACACCTCACACCTCGCACGTGGGTACCTCCTAACTTTGTCGCACAGCTCCTCCACCAGCGCCGGCCACCCTACGCCGGCCCACGGCCTCATCATGGTGTCCACGTAAGGCTTGAGCAGCTCCTCCGCCAAGTGGCAGAGTAATTTGGTATCATAATGGGGATGCCAGATTGGAACTTCTTTTTGGGTGGTGTTGTTTTCAAGGAAATTATTAGTACGGGTGGTGAGTATTTTTCTAACGCAGTCCACCTCTGCCGTGATGTCATGGCGGTCGGCGGCGGCGGAGATGATATGATGTTTGTTATTGTTGGGAAGTTGGATGACGTGTTGGTGATGGAGAGTTTTGTGGTTATTGTGGAAAGTTGATAACTGCAACACTGGTTTTGATTCTTTATCGCCTGTGACTGTCTCTGCACCTTCATTCCGATTGCATGCACCTGACTGTAAAAACGCAACCAAATTAATTAACTCTCTTATTCTAACCTTAAACCATCAAATATTCTTGAAGTTAATTATTAAATCAAAATTGGTTTAGTTTCAAAATTTTCTATTTTGGACAATTACCTAGATGTCTGTTTTGGTTTTTGTCTGAGCCAACCCAAAACATGCTCTCATTTTAGTATTCATTGAAAATAAAGACAAAAATTAATATGAATATTGTTTCTAAAATTTAGAAACAAAAATAAATGTTTTGAAGATTTATGAAGTTGAAAGTTTCTGTTTTTTTTTCAGTTATTGATGGAGGTCAGGATTCCAAGCATAGAGCTTAAAATGAAAAATATTTTGAAAGTTTTTGTTGTGTGTGATTAAGAGAAAGGAACAAAGAGGAGAAGATAATTTTTTTTAGGAAAAAATAAGATATTTGGAGCGCTTTAATAAAACTAAATCTTGTCTCAGTATTGAAAAATTGACCATTCATTCATTTTTATAAAAAATCCTTATTTTATATTTATCTTTTTTAATTATCAACCATTTGACCATGGTAAGAAAATTTGAGGAGCCAAATATTTAAAATATATATATATATATATATATATATATATATAAAATATGTGAGTATGATGAGAAAGTTACCAAGAAGGTTCTCTTTTTTTTTAAAAAAAAAGGGTTTTTATTTTTTTAAAACCGACTAAAATGGATTTTAAACTATTAAAATTTGGAAAAAGTAATAAATTAGAGCATGACATCCACACATGCATATGGGTTTTTATTAAATCAGATGACGCAAAAAATGAGAATATTATCTATCTTAAGAAATAAAGTTAAACATCCGCTCCTTTCAAAAAAAAAAAAAAAGGAAAAAGTTAAACATCCGCACCTGCATTGGAGGTGGTTTCGCCTCTTTCTTCATCACAACGGTCGGAACAGAACTGAAGCTCAGAAGCTCATTCGACAATGGAGTTTTCTTTGACTTCTTCCGAGGACTATCAATGGTGGCCTTCGTCATTCTCGACGGAACCACAAATGCTTCCTCTTGCTTATTACCCTTCTTCGCCGGCGCCGGCGCCTTCTTCGACCCTTTAATCGCCTCAACTTTCGGACTTGGTAATTTTTTTAAATTAGTATTCTTCGCCTCCAATACTCTCAGCTTCGGAGACAATGAAGACGAAGACGATATTTTTTTGGGTTTTGGTTGGTTCATCACGTCATGATCTCTTCTTTGGTAATTATTGGTGATATCGGTGAGGCCAGATTTTCTACTCACCGATTCTTTGATTTGCTTCACAATCTCCTTAGCGTAATGCGATGGACTAGTTGAGTTCTCTTTGTCGTAATTGGGAATTTGAAGTGAGAGGCGGTGGTGGTAATTCTGATCCGCATTTGATTTTCTTTCACAAGATGTTCTTGGAGTTTCTGGCAAGGAGCGCGAGACACCTGTTTTTGAGTACTTTGGCTTTTGAAGAAGAGGGTAAATTGGAGACACTGAAGAAGAAGAAGTAGTTCTTGGCGTGGTTGAAGGAGAGCTGGATTCAGGAAGAAGATCCAGACCCATTAATCTTGCCACTAAAGTTGGCGTCTTGGTGCTCGGTGAGTTGCCGGAGAAATTGTCTCCGTCGCTATTCGATGAATCTTTGCTTCTGCTCCTGGTTTTGATTTGAACAATACCCTCCTGGTGGAAAAGATTAAATTTACCATAACCCATTAAATTTGGACAAGTGAGTGGAGAATTTTCTAGAGAAGGTAAATTTAACTTACTGGGATATGCAAACCATCCTTTTGCTTTGTACATGGTGATGGAAGCTCCTCGTCTGATTCCAGACTGTTTCGTGGCGCTTCAGTACCTGAATTTCACAACCCATTATTCAAAATCCGATTTTGGTACGAGATATAGATATCAATAATATTCGTAAGATTTCATACGACACCAAAAGAAAAATACTTCATGTCTGTTATCAGCTGTTGTTCCGTCCTTTATCTAAAGCAAACCCATGATTCAAAATCAGATTTTGCTCTTCCAAGTGAGAGAGAGAGAAACCTGTGGGAATATGGTGGTCTGGTGGAAGAGAAATGGGCTTGAGAGAGACAGAGAGAGATGATTGAGGTGGGTGGTGATGGCTTTGATTCAAAGGATGAAAATCAAAGAGCTGAAAAACAGCGCACATACAGCCAGCAGAGGTAGAAGAAGCTTCTTCATGATCAGTGCTGCTGCTGCTGCTGTTGCTGTTGCTGTGAGGTCCTTCATTTTTGAGTCTTCTGGTGGCTCTTCCATGTCCGCTCCAATACCTTTGCTTCCCCATAATCGGAAATAGCCCTCCTCTTAACCTCTCAATTATCAGCAAACGAAAGAAAGAAAGATTGTTTGTTATATAGAAAAAAGATCAGGCTGTTGTTCATGAGAAAAAATGTCAGAGAGAGAGAAAGCTGAGAATTTTATCTCTCTCTCTCTCTCATGTAGTAAAAAGAGAGAAAAAAGCCAAGGAGATTCTGCTGTGGAAGCGAGAAAAGCGGATCAAATGAAGCATATATATATAAGGCAGCAACATTAGAAATTCAGGAATTTAAGTACACCCGCAAGTATTATCCGTTCTTGTATTCTCAGTACTCTCTCTGTTACTTTTTCACACTCACTCCCAAGTTTTACCGCACCCGAACCAATAAAAGCCGTAACTTTTTTTTTCTCTCTTGGGAATTGAAATGGCCAAGGGAATAAGTAAAATACGATGGTGAGAACAGTGAAGAGTGAACACACACTTGGCTGGCTTTTGCAGACGTGGGCCGAGAAGATGTATAATATTGGGTTTGGGTTTTGGATTATAGATTAATTAATTCAATTCGGGGCCTCCAACGTCTCATATTTTCAGTTGGGCATCATAGTTTTTAGTTAATTAATCAAGGTGTTTACATTTACTCATGCTATATCTAGCTAATTATTTGTTTATCTACAAGGCAGATGCTTCGCTTATCACAAATTTCAAACTTCCTCGACAGAGTTGTGCCTAGTTTGAATCTAAAAATATGATCTCAAGCTTTTGTTGGTCTAATTTGATTTAATAAAAATTTGTCGATCTTTAATTTATTTGGGATCAATCAAGTTGAATGTTTAGACTTGGATTTTAATTTTGTAAGAATTGATATTAGACCAACCACATCCATTTAACCAAGAATCTATTTCAAAACAAAACAAACTAGATCTTCAAAGAAGGAACTTTGATCAGAATGACTAAATTAACTTTGGTTAGTTTGTTTAATCTTTTAATTTTATCGTATTAATGTCTTCATATATATCTCTAGCTTTGAACATTAAAATAAAAATGAAATATTTAAAGTAAAATATACTTTTGGTCTGGGATCATTATAATTTTGATTATGTGATGGGATATATTATGTATATGGGCAGAGAATTTTAAACTTTGGATATAAAACTTCAAAGATTATATGTGACGGAAGATCTAATAGTACAACAAACGCATAATGAAAATTTTCATTTCTATCTGTACAGTGTTAATTATTATACCATGGGGAAAGTGGCAAAGGAAATTGTCCTTATTTGACATTCAAATTTTTTTTTTTTCACATTTCCCTTGGAAAAAACTTTCACATGCATCAATTTTAAATTGGATTTGTAAATTGAATGTGTAGAAATTTAAATTTTGGGATAAATTGGGATGGGTTATTCATGAAGCTAAGAAGGACTTGAAATCTCATCCATTACATGCAACAACTTTGCATAGGAACAGTGATCAGAGAGCATTTCTTATTTGTTGTTTTTCCTTGTTAGGTACACACACATCGGACCTACAATAATTAATTGAAGTACACACACATCTTCAAAAATTCATAATAATCATGCACTCAAAAGTTTAATTAATCTCAAACTGTCTAATGGGTTTTTTTTCCCTTTCATTTATATATATATATTGTCATAAAGTGTTTGAATAATAATGAGGTTATAGTTGAATGTTAGGCATATATAGCGTTGGAAAAGGAATAAAATCAAGTCCAAAAGCTTGGTGCTAAAGGCTGATAAAGGGGAGCTTTTTGGTTACATCCACACAAGATTTTGTGAGAAAAAGTATGAAGAGATTAAATGAAGGGTATGATAGTTTATAAAGATGGAAAAAGTATGGTTTTAGAGAGGGAAAAGGAATATTTATATATATTGAAGAGGATGCATGTGAAGGGTAGGGTAGGAAGAGAGTTGTTTGGATTTGGAGATGAGAAGGGCAGAAAGAGGGATATGGAAGGACAGTGGAAAACCTGTAAAGTGGTCAGTTTTGGATCCCACCATACACAAACAGATATTGTTGCTGCCTCCTCATAACTTATAAACCATCTCATTGGATTGGACCACTACACTCAATCTATTCATTTTATTGCCTTTCTATTCAATCTTTCTTCTAATTCTTTTCATCTAATACTTATCATCCATTTCCATCCTAACCATCTAAAAGTGGCTTGTGTATGAAAGAGAGATTAGGGAGACAGAAAAGATTTGTGCATGTCTAGAGAAGTTAGGTTTGTAGTAAAGAGAAAAGATTAGTAAGAGAAAACGTGTAGGGATAGAAAGAGATTAATGAGAAAATAGAACATAGAGAGATTAGCAATAGCAAGATATAAGATATTCGGAGAAAGATTAGTGAGAGAGAAAATCAGGAAAGTGAGTATTTTTTACCTGGGATTAAAAATATAATATTTTTTAGAGCATTAAAAAAATAACATTTTGAGTTAATTGTCTCCCTCAAGATTTATTGAAAATTTTTCAGGTAGTTTTCTTGAAAAGTGCTCTTAAATTGCATAATCTTTTGACACAAATAGTAAACCATAGCAAAATGATATATAGTGCGTTTGGACTTTGGAGGTGTTTTTTAAAATTTGAAAGAATACTATTTTTATTATTATTATGTTGGTTGAATTCAGAAGTAGGCCTTTAGCGAAAAACTTTTATGTGTCTTTTTCAAAAGGATGTATAAACAAAGTGTCTCACTCACAAATACTCCCAAATGGAGTAACTATCCTAACAGAATCCAATTTTATCATCTAGAATTTTCTTTAGAAATCATTTTCAATTTCCACCAACCATTTTAAATTTAAATTAAATTTATTATATTGTAATTATTATTTTAATTGGATTCTTTGGTCCACAAAGATTAGTTTTTGATATATCTATAAGATTATAAATAAAGAAAATTTTTCTGTACGCATTATTCTAGGACTATGCCATGTTTCAGATTCAGTTTTTGAGCAAAACCTTGCAGATTCCCCCTCCTTACAATAATATTCCCTACAGCTTAATCTGAGAGAGAAGAGAGAGAGAGAGAGAGATTTGAAATTTGAAAATTTGTAAAGCTGAGGGGAAAAAGCTGGGGGAGACATTATTTAAGTGGTGGACATATGATTATGGTGAATTGCAGTGATGCCATTGTTTTTATGCATCCTGGTTCCTGCTCTAAAATAGCATTCAGACAAAACACTCTCCCTCCCCCACAGACATCCCTATGTCCCTCAAAATGACACTTTGCCCCTCCTCCTTCACTCCAACCCGGTTCGGAGATGTCGCACTCTTACATTTTTTAAATGACGAGTTGAAGTTTCAAAGAAAAATATTTTAACTAGTAAACGAAAGTTTGTAACTTCATTAACGTATTTATAAGGGGTTTTTTTTTTTGGAAGTGAAAACTACTCCATTAGGTATGTGAGAAACATACAAAAAAGAGGAGGCTTAACAAAGCATTCCAATTCAAAGAAATGGTAGATACATCGCAATACATAAAATTGGGGATTTTGAAAGACCAAAGGGAGGTATAGATTTTTATATCCCCAGAGGTTTGAGAAAGATTTTGAAGAGACTGCAAATATCCTGCTATTAGGCTCCAACCATATATACCATAGAATAGAACCAACGACATTGTTCCACAAAATATTCCTCCGATTGTTTAACCTGAGAGAGATTCCTTGATGAAGTGATCAATTTGCGCTGGAAACACTACGACAGTGTTAAAAATCTCAAATAAACGGAACCATAGAGCTTATGTGAGAGTGCAATGGAGGAAAAGGTGGTCCAAATATTCTGCTGAAGAACTGGACATAACGCACCAATTTGGGCTGAGGGTTACGTACTTATAAGGTCTTTTACTAAGATGTAAATGAAAACTTTGGTCTAGTGGGTCACAAGGCCACAAAATTGCTACTATTGGAGATGGGAAGTATGAGAAAAATGGGTTGTGAGGCCCCTCCTTCCATAACTTTATTCAATCATACACTTTACCATTATTGAGAGAGAGAGGGGGGGCATTTCCATTTCCCCATTATTATTATTCTTCTTCTATTGTCAGTAAGCCATTGGATATAGAATAGATGGAAGGCAGAGTTTGATCTTCAATTCTTAAAGAAAACGCAATGATTGATGTTTGAATACAACTCTCTTTTTTTCAACTTAACAAAGGAGTTTCCTTTTCTCTTTATCCAGACACTTTATTTATTCAACACTTGTTGCCATTCAAACCGGTGACACTCTATTCTATACTTGTACAAATTCAAGCCCTAAAAGGCCCAAACCAATTTATAGTTTTAATAGAAGATGGAACTGACTTCTGTCCATCTAAATAATATATAACATCTTCTTGTATTGGCTAATTCCATTAATAAAACCAAAAAAACATGGCCCCCAAAGATATGCAAACCATCACATTTGCATTTCTAAACAAACAGAAGTCCCTTTTTGATCTTCTAATTCTTAAAATTAAGTTTTTCACTCATCAGTTTCTTTGTTTTGTTATATAATTTTTATAAATACTTTCTAAATTTAGGCTATCTTTTGAAAACGAAAAAAGAAACAATTTTTTAAAATTTTATTCTTGGTTTTGAAATTTGGCTAAGAATTTAAATATAATTTCAAAAGAGGTAAAAAAAAACTTACTAATATGAAGTTATACAAAAACAAACATAATTTTTATAAATTAAAAATTAAAAGTAAAATGCTTATCAAAACGACTCTTTAAGATAAATCCAAAACTTAATTCAAGAAACAACTCATAAGATCTCACTCAAAAAGGAAAGAAAAAAAAAACTCTATTAATAATAGTGAAATACAAGACCACATAAATATAATTGCAAAGTTGTTTATTAATAACATAAACAATTAAAGCTCACAATTACATGGGAAATTCGAAATTGATAATAGACTATTTGTTTATTTATTTATATATTTAATTTGTATGTGGGTAAAGCTGCATGGCATGCACGTGGGATTAAATGAACAATTGGGTGTCGACTTCACAACTTGGGCTACTCCGGCAGCCGAGAGCGGCGGCGCCACCGTGAGCTGCGGCCTGCAGTCATTTAGTGGAAACGTAAATAATTGATTGTCTGAGTTTAAAAGTATGAGAAGGTAGCGTGCAAGAAACTCTTTTTGACTGCTTTAATTTTACTGCTGCAACTACGAGAGAATGAACAGCAAAAAGAAACCAGAAAAAGAAAAAAAGTGAATTTTTTTCAGCCCAAAAGATGGCAAAGGGCTCATGTTTACAGAACCTATCATTCGATCTCTTCTTTCCATTATTATTATTATTAGTTTCAAGAGAATTATGAGAAACATTGAATGGCTTCTTCCAATGATTTTGTTCTTTGATTAACATCCATTAAATCATTAGGATTTAAGATGTTACAATATAACAAGTTTACGTTTTCAAAATATTCTTTACATTTCCTCTCGAATCTATCATGTGAATTACTGTTACTACAGAATGCAAGGAACTATTTTATATTTCTAACTTAGGGGGAGCATGTCAAAACTTCTAAGCCCTTTTTCAAGTACCAAAAAGAAAATAATAATTTGATTACTATTTTAATAATAAGTTACTATTTTCAATAACAGACATGTTTTACTGATAATTGTAATATTTTATATAATGGATAAAACTTAATAGTTGTTGATATGTAGTTATCTCATGTCACAAGTAATTATCCTCCACAAACTATCAGACAACTAAAAGAAGAGATGAATACATCAAAAAATTTTAAAAAAATAGAATAAATAACTGTAAATTTTTGTATTGACGGTGATACCTTCTTATTATTTAAACACTTAAGTTTTATCTATACGATCAAAACTTTGGATGAAAGGTTAAGTATGATTTTGAATTTAAAATTTTAAAAATGGTTAAAAACTTCAAAGCCGTTTAATAGTCATTTCATTTTCTATTTTCTATTTTGACTTTTGAATAATCAGTAACAATTTTGTTTGATAATTAATTTAGTTGTCAAATTTTAAAGTTTGAAAAACGTTAAAAAACCTAAAACAAATTGTATTTTCTAAAATCTCACTTTTTGACAGTCTATCTTTCATTATTTTATTTTATTTTAAACACTCTCACTAAATTCTCTCTCTCACTAACACATTGTTTTCTAAAATTTTGGTCTCTTTATAACTTTTTGTTAATATCTCCTTTCTAACTTATCTCTCTATCCTATACTACTCTCCCATAATTCACTTTTTCTCTAAATTTTATTTTCAATGTGTTGCCAGACATTTGAAACATATATAATTTTTTGTTTCGTTATATTAGAAATTCCAAAACAAGATAAAGAAATACCAATGGCCTAGAAAGAGAGGAAAAGCAAACATTATTATTTTCTTAATAANACTTTCAGAAGGAAATTATATTAGAGAGAGAAAAATAGTGCAAAAGAATATGTAAAATTTGAAAATCAGAATCTTATTTTAAATTTTCTTTTTCTTATAAGTCCAAAGACATTTTCAAATCTTGAAAATAAGAAACTGAAAAGATTATTAAAGAGCGCTAAAATATTGAATTTTACTGTCCAAAATTCAATTCCTTATACCGATTACCGATTAGATTACGAAAATAACATTAAAATAATGAAAGATATTACCGTTGAGAGGCAATACTTAGACAGGTTCTGGGTATTAGAATAAAAAAGTTATTTGAATCTCCCATTTTTTTAATGCAGAAACAGAGAATAAATATAGATTTTAGTATTTTACAAGATTAATGGAAATGACACTTCCACCCCGACTCAAACTCCAATTATTTTTCTTTTTCTTTTCCTTTTTAAATTTATTTATTAACGTTACAATTGGTTGTTAAGTTTTTCATGTATAGATTAGTGAAGATTTATACACGTCAGCGTAAATATTTAAGTACTTCAAAAAAAAAAAAGACACTTTATTTATAATTAAAATAAAAAACTTCGACTTATTATTTCACAAAAAAATCGTATTGGTATTAATAACTCCAATTTGTTTTTGTTTTATGTCATAAAATCATTCATTTTCTTCAAGAAATATGGGTTTGAACTGAAATAACATGTAAAAATTCCAACAAAACAAGCTTGAAAGAGTTATACTCACCTTTAAAGATAATCTTGCGTTCTTTTCTAAAAGAAGTCGTTCCTGAAGAGAGAAAAATTAAAGACTCTTAATCAAAACATTAAACATAAAGGAATTTACCCAAAAATAATGTAAAATGAATTACCTTTTCTTTTAGTTGTTCTATTTGCTCCTTGTATAGCTGAGCCTAAAACACAGTCAGATTTGAATTAAGCTGAGGGTTGTATTTTTCAAGTGTCTGATCCTCGAAAAAAAATAAAAGAAAATTATAATCTAGACTGCTGATAATAGATTTACCTTTCTGGCCCTAATTAGGAACAAGCTTCGCTGAAGCTGAGCATCAATTTCTTGAAGTTCATCAAGAGAACAAGAATCCAGTCCATATCCCAACAGCTTCCTGTTCATTCAAATTTGTGATTTTTCAGAAAACCCTGAGGCCATTGGAAAAGGGATTAATTTAGATGTATTGGGTAAAAAAATCACACCTTTGAGAAAGTTGCACCAACTCAATTTTCTCACTAATACTTTCAGCTTCATTCTTTAATTCCTGCAGTACCGAAACATAATTCTTAAAATCAAAAACAAAATCATTATCAAACGGGACTTTAAAATAGATGACAGTTTGGGACAGATATTTTTATTAATTTGCTTAGTTGTAAGAGTTATCATAGAACTAGAATGAATCATTTATGGTTTATTTGATAGTAGTTTATTGAAAGGGTTGGATTGAAAACCTGTAATTGGAGCTGTTTATCAATCTTGCTATTATTCTTCCCATCTCTTGCACATTTGCGATAGCGCTCCACAATCCTCTGTATGCTGAAACAATCATCCAAAGCCACTAACACATTAATCATAATTAATATCCACCAAATCAACAGCTCCTTTTTATGGATTTTCATACAATAATACATAATTAAATTCTCCACGCCATAAAAAGATATTCCATTGTCAACCTGAGGAAGATTTAACCTCCTTACTCTCAATTTGTTGTACTAAGAAAAGAGAGTTAAAAAGGGAATTCTCTGCCAAGTCCTACGTCCTTCCTTCAATCACTCTTACAGACTCCATTTCTCTCTTTATCTCTAACTAAACATCCTTCCATTTTCACTATTTTCCATCATTTTACATTATCACAGTTTCTAAATCTCTACTTTATTCTATATCGACTACATCGTCCTTGGTAAAATTCATAAATCCAGTGCAAATATATAACATAAATGAGTTAAGGTTTAACACTATTATATACTATATAGCTGAAATTCTTACTACAAATTCTATATCGACTAAAAAAAGAAGCATGGAATATGAATTTCAACGGAAAAGTTGAGGCATCAACTTAAGTATATAGCTCTCAACTAGTTAAGTATATATCATCAATCAGATTCAAATTCTTACTCTCATGTATTGAACTTAGAAAAAAAGAAAAAGTTGAGACGTTTTTTTAGTATCCCTAGTTTGGTTGAAGGAACTAGTTTTTGGGCATTTGTCCTCCCACCACAGTAAAACACAGCTTGTTTTTATGGATATACTACATAAGTTTTCAAGTTAATCCTCTTTTTAAATTATAATTTCTGAACCCTACCATACAAATTGCTCTCACGACGGAAAAATACTGTGTCATAGCAAACTTCATTTGATAATCTTTTTCCAAAATTCCTTAATATTAAAAATAAATAATAACTACTTTTAGTTTTATATGTTTAAAAAAATGGAAAAACAGAACATGTTTAGAGATGAGAGAAAGCTTCGCAGAAAATCTTCAAAGATCAGAAATAAAAAAATATGAAGTGCCAGTGGAAAAATCTAGCACAGGAAAGTAGGTTGGATTCAGGGAAAAAAGTGAACAAAAATTTACTGCAAATCAACAATAACCAAACAAGCATAGGAAAAAACAAATAGTTGTAAAAATTAGGAATGAAGGAGAAAGAAAAATTACTCAGAGCTTGCAAACTCGTAGAGTCGGCCTTTCTGAGAGAAAATGATGACAGCAATTTGAGCATCACAGAGCACAGATAGTTCATAAGCCTTCTTCAACAGCCCATTTCGACGCTTCGAGAACGTCACCTGCCGACTTGTCGCATTTTCTATTCGTTTCATCTCTACTTTTCCTCTCACCATTTCTGCCATACATAATATGTCAATTACTGATGTTCTTGACAATCCAACATTAATTTTTTTTAATTATTAAATACGTTTTACAAAATTACTCCTAAATAAATCTTCAAAACATGCCCTTAATCATTTTTTCATGGTTTAACCCTCCTAATTTTACAGGTTTGGAAATAAGCACAAGACTCAAGAGGGGAGTATCAATTCAAGAGAAAATAAAATTATAAGTTCGAAACAGGAACTCGATGCGACTGGACCTAAAAGTTTAAGTAGATAGATTACTATATATTTAACCATTTATTCAATATTCTTTACAAAATTAAGAATCAAATGAAAATAAGAGATTAAAATACACATATCTTACCATATAACTGGAGACGCAAAATTACTTTGGAAAGTTTATTGCTCGAGCTTCGAAATCAAGGTCCAAAATATTGGCAGAAAAAATTAACAAAATATTCACAGTTTACAAAAACAAAAACTGAGAGGGAAAAAGAAGAGGAGAGAGAGAGAGGGTCAAAGAGAATTAAAAAAGAGTGGGAAGCAAAATCTAAGAAGACTCAGAAAGCAACCAAAAATAGCTTAAAAAACCCAAAACCCAGAAACCCTAGAAAGATTTGGACCTAAGAAGAGCTAGTTTTCTGGTAAAAACCTCTAAAAGGGGGGAAGGAAAAAAAATTGAAGGCCCCTCACAAAAAAAGAAGCAATTTTGAGCAAAAAACAAAAGTGGGGAAAACGGAAAAAAGAGTTAGAACATTAGGAGAAAGGAAATAGAAGAAATTTTAGAAACCCTCGAGAGGTTTTCAGAGGATTGGTTGGCATTTATCCCTTCTTCCTGCACAACTCAAAGCTATATTTGCTCATTCATTTATAGACTAATTTTTTTATTCCCTTTGTCCTTTCCTCTCCAAACTCCAAATATCGTCTAATCACACAAATAAGGAAAGGCATTCCCCAAAAAAGAAAAATAGAACATAGCAAAGGAAAAAAAAAAGAGAGAGATTCCAGAATGATGGAAAAAGAAGCCACTGAGGTAAATGCAGGAGAGATAGGGAAAAGGATCGTGGGACACAGCCAATATAAAACGGATTTCCATATAAAATGAAAAAGGAAAAAAATGGATATCTCTTAAATTACTTTTAGGTCAAGGACTTAAAATATAGTTTACTATTTCAGTTCTGAATGTTCAAATTTAATTCATATACTTCGACAAATTTTAAAATTAACCTGATGAATTTCATAAGTAATGAATGAACCTCGCTGAGTAACATGAAGGCATATATCCTAAGACTAGAAGCACAAGAATGCAAAAAACCCTCGAGTACATTAATCTATTTAAACTATAAAATAAAAAATAAAAATATAGAAAATTAATGAAATAAAATATATGAAAAACGAACGCTACTAAGCTGCTGTTGGGGAACTTGGTAGAAGCGATTTGCCACTTCCGCCTCTCTAGGCTTCACAATAGCTCCCCCCTATCTCGAATGAAAAATGAGTCTTCTCCCCTCCACGAGAATAAATCCGAAAGGCATTTTCAATTCCRAAGGCTTTTTTGTTTGAGCAGGGGACTCCGAGTCTTGTGTTGACAAAGATCAGGATCCTCGATCCCTTCCTGAATATTGATCAACTTTCTCTCGATATTCAGGAATTGCTCACGCGACCCCTCATCCATTAGTGCATCCATTAAGTAAGAAATGCAGTATTCAGAACCTCGTAAATCAAAGCCTTACTAGAATAGAACTAGACTAGATAGGGGGCAAAGAGGAGCTGTGAAATCAATTCTCTTTTTTTCCTTCTAGCTCCAGAAGCATCCCTGCCTTAAAGAAACCTACGCAGTGCTTCGTCGTAGGCTCCAAGTGTAGCTGTTCTTTGAAGTTCCAACAAACCTGACTACATTAGGGTCCTCCTCGTAGGACAAGTAATGGGCCAATAAATAGGGTCTTAAGGCAAAAATTTAAAAAAGAGATACCTTAACATGGAAATCTCGAAAACTCATGTTTCAAAACGACATCCAAATCGACTCAAATGTCTTCTGTATGGGCATCTTAGGATGTCCAAGCATCTCGAGATATCAAGGTAACTTACACTATAACAAAACAAACATGAGAATCCAAATATCCAACTCACGAGAATTTTGGATTCCCATGAAACAAATCGTCCCTAAAGACTTTTTTCTTTTAAGTTCAAATTTGAACCTCGAATTTAAGAATAAGTAAGCAAAGTCTTGACCAATTGAACTATACTTGTTCGACTTAAACTTTCATAGGTGTATCTATTAAATCTTTAAAAAAATTTATAATTATATCCATAAACTTCGTTCTCTAATTACACATCAATAGGATCATTAACTAAAATTATGATAGAACAAGCTTGTTTACTAGAAAAATATTGGTTAATTTATCATGACACATCGTATATGCAATTGAACAAAATATACAGTAACATATCAAGTTGGTTTTAAATATCATGCGAATGCTATTTTTTTCTCGCATCTATTAATTTTATTGTCAGCCAACATTTCTTCAATAAATTTATCATCATTATTTAGTTGATGAATGATGTGAATATATTATACAAACTAGATTAAAAGATAGAATCAAAGTTGTAATTCCAAACTTTTATAGAGATTAAATAGATTGAATCATTAAAGTTGGTAATAAATTTGAAAATAGTATATGGAATGGGGGAGTTTTGGAGTGTGAATGGGAAGTTGAAGTTTTGAGTTCTGTTCGACCAAAACAATTGTGGGTCTGCGTGCTTATGACGGCATTGAAGATTCAGTAAAGTTGACATCATCGTACGATGACATGGACTCCAAACCAATCACTGTTAGACACGTCATACACGCTGTCATTTACCTACACTACCACCTCACATGCCTATCCTTTGCGAGTCATACTTTTTGCCTTTTTCTTGTTCTTTCTT